ATGAAAAAAGAGGGATCTTTGCTTCCTTAGGTTTTAGGGAACCAGTATGCCTCTATTCCATTGACTGTCATTTCATTTCATTTCAGATGTCTTGTTGCATTCATGTCTGTCCATGTTTAATTGTCTGTGAGTCTTTTTAAAAATATCAGTACTATCTGTTACTTAATGTAACAAAAACTCCAAGGCTATTTTCATACCTTCTGTTTTTGAATATTCATTAGTGTTTTCAGTACTTATCATGAAGATAGTTTTTTGTAGTGCAAATGTTCAGTTCAGAGTTTCGTGTAAGAAAGGTCTTGAAATGTTTTGAAAACGCATTGACAAATCATAAATCATAAGCTGCCTATTAGAATGAACTTTTCCATTCATGCAATGCACCAATTTTTCAGTGATCAAATGATGGGCAACCACTGCACTCCTCGTTGTGGATGTTTTCCCTTCCTTTGTTAGAGATCCCAACCCGGACCAATCAATTGTTTTAAACATAAATTACAAACAAACGGTGACTTAAGACGTTAATGTAAACAAACAAATGGCGAGACCAATTTGTTTTTAAGTTGAACAATGTAACTGTGCATGCACCCTTTATGCTGTCAGATGGACAGGAGATATGTGCAATAGATACTTACGTTCTTGATCAACTTTGTATTTTAAGCATAAGACTTGCCTTCTGCAATTGTAAATTGCATGCTAAAAGAAAATGAAACATTGTGAGATGAAGTAAAGTTGCCAGAATGCAACTTTACTTCATCTTTTCATAACAAACCCGATTCTGAATACAAATATGCATTTATAATTTCATACCTTCTGCATTTCTTTAGGGGGTATTTTTATATGTATGTTTTCTGTCATTTCATAAAACTACCTACAGTACAGTTGTGTTTCTCAAATGTTTTAACCTCTAAATCATATGCATATAGTTTACTTATTCTGGGGGGGATAATTACAATAGGATATTGTTAGAAGAAAATAAGGTTTTTATGTATTATCCCTTTGAAAGTGAAAGCTGACAGAGATTCAACCAAAGCTGCATCAATTATGCCTGTGGAATTTTGCAGAAAGTGGCACTTCTTTAGTTAATAAACAATCAGAATTTGGCTGAATTTGCTTTTGCACTTTGTAAAAAGACTTTTGTCGATTTATGCTACAAAAGCCTTCCAATTTTATTGGAAACTCTGGTTAGAACACTATGAGTACAAACGTCTGGTGAGTAATTGTTCTAATATATAACTGTCCATATTCAGCTGGGCATATTGTGACCATTAAAACATTTTTTTTGATGATAGGATCCTATAAAATTGAAAATAATATACTGCTTGGTATTGTGCAGAAGGGGTGTCCCAAATTATAACCTTCCACATTTTCTCCCAAATATGAGGAAAAAATGTAAGAATAACGATTAATTTACTATACCCTTGTTCATAAAAGGAAAACATGGTTAATTAAAAATTAATCATGGTTACATCAAACCAAAGCACAGATGTTATGAGTGCATTGTTATGTTACAATTATCCGTAGTTAAAATGAATAGTGCTGCTTGACAACAGTTTCACCTTTGGCAGGATAGTGCATAAGTACCCAAAATAATGTATAATTAATTAACACTTTTAATTATTACTAATTCATGTATTTGTAATTACAAATAATATATATGTAAATTTAAATTTGACAAATACAGTAGAAGTCCAAAAATCCGCAAAGCTTGGGACCAGAGGTTGTGCTGATTTTAGGATTTTGCAGATTTCGGGACAGAAAAGATGAATTATAACATTCAGGCTAGCAAAATAAATAAGGCATATTAGATACATTTAATTAAATTATTATATACATTATTACAATAATTTATTATATGCATTAAATGATTATTACATATATAAATTGATTATATATAGGCTCCTCTTATTTTTAAATCAGCATGACTGCTTTTCCTTTTCTCTCAGGAGCAGTTGTGAAATTGGTACCCCATCACTCGAGCCGCTGCCAGAACCACTCGTATGAGATGACATCGAGCTTTGCCGATTTCGCCTCGTGTATAGGTTTCCGGTGTTAGAATAACTGTTGCTGTAAAATTTTAACTTTTCTTTATTTTTCTGTATATCACGGTCCGTGTTGCAATTTCATACGATTCTGCTATAAACTGAGAAGTAGCACCTGCCTTTCGTTTTTTTGCAGAATTTCCACTTGACCTCAGTCCAAAAACTTTTCTTCAGAAATATCTTGTATCCTCGCCGTCAATGCAACGTGATTATGTTTTTCAACATTGCAAGCGGTAAAATCATGAGTGCATTTCTTATTTGAAAAAGCACTGAAATTTAAAATATTCTTAATTTATCCACAAAATATCTGGATTAAAAAAAAAAAAAAAAAAAAAAAAGCAGCACTAAACAATCTCGTGAAATAACAAAGCTCAGAAAGTGCAACAACGTGAATCGTGTACTTGAAGGAAGAGTTAAGTGAATCATCTGCTTTTTTACCTCTATGCAAACTGGAGGGAAAAAAACTTTTATCATGATGTCAATAATTTGGTATTTTCATTATGACTCATTTTATATGGTAATTATGATGTCATTATCCGGTAAGTAGGTTTTCTTCGATATTTCGTACTCCATGTTGCGGTTTTTGAAACCTATAAACGGAATGTTTATATTTTGAGAGGCAGCGCGGATTTTAGGTATTTGACTGTATTCTCTATTCATAATAAAGCTAATATAAATTTAAAATTTAATTTTTTTTTGCAAAAATAAAAAATAAAGCATTAATTATTGCTGCGAACTAATTTACAATATCATTTAAATTCTAAGAGCATATGTAAATTAAGTGCACATATTTAAAACCATAAAAAAATATATAATATTCCAAAAAATTACACTCAGAATTTTTTATATATATATGTATAGGATTAACAAATACAAAAAAGTGCATTTGAAAACTTCCTGCAATTAACTTAAAATTGCCTTTGGATCCAATCAGGAAAAGTATATTTTAAAACTTTCTACAGCCCAATAAAAATTATCTTCTGGCCAACATTTTAGAAAAAATGCTGTACAAATACAATATTTTTTCATACTCAGTCTCTTGACAACTGAGCTGAAACATCAGAATCCTTTACATTAGCAGGACTAAAATACTGCCTGATTTTGGTTCTTGTGGGTGTTTAGAAACTGTTGAAAAGTGCAATTTTTTATATATTTTTACTTCTTTTTTAAGAAAGGGGGCTCATGAAAGAGGTTAAGGATGGCTTCTTTTTTATTTCAGTATCAGTTTCAGATTATTTAGAGTAAATGAATACCTTCATTGCATAATTTTTCCCGGGAGGGGAGGGGGAGAATCTTTTTTAAATGGAATTTCTTCATAGCAACATTTGTTCATCTTTTGTTAACTTTTACTGTGTTTTGCATTACTTTTTTATTAGATCTGCCAAGAATTTAAATAAGCTGTTATTTCAGGCCATGTGATATTTTGCTAAAAAAAACTTTCATGTCTTCCATTTTTCATGCAAATCTACATAAAACAACGAAACAATAGCAAAAGAGATAATATGGAAATGAAATGTCAACAATAGCTGACAGTGTGCTAAAATAAGAATTGAAAACCAGTTTGAAAGTAGTAATTAACCTTATTAAGTGGAGTTTATATGGAGGCAGAGATAACAATATGATGTGATTTTGAATGATTGCTTAACAATATATAGCAGAAATCAAGAAATCTGTATTAGTAATCTGTCAAAATATGTTTCATCACCAAAAGGCATAGATTGTTGGCAGGTACTAGCTAAAATCCAAATACTGGTTGGTATATATACTAAAAAGGGTGGGTGTGTTAGTACAGTATATTCTCTTTTGCACATATATACATTTTGTTCACTCAGTATATAATGTAAAATTAAAAATAGTATATTGTAGATATTTAATGCATAGTGTGTTTAATTTTATAATGCCCTGCTGTGAGTAATTTAGCAGTTAAATTATACCATCTCTCTCTATATATATGTTACAGGAATAGCACATTGTATGTGTATTTGGTGTTCACATTTTTCACATAACCATGCAAGTTTTAGAATATTGTTACATGTGCATAGGTCCTTAATGAACTGAATGCATACAGAAACAATGATAGTATGATAAAATTTATTTTCCCAAAAGAAACACTTTGCAATTCTGCAACTTCAATTGCCAAAACCATTGCTAGTGAGATAGCCATTTACCTTCAATGTTAAATTGACTTGTAATCTTATTGTTAACCTTATTGCCCCTGTGACCTTGTTTCTCTGCTGAAGCTTCACTCTTTTGAGGCCTTCTATGTTACTTTGTACATAAGATACTACGATTTTACGTATTTTACATGTGTACAAAATTCATAACAATATACCTGCAAGCATGAAAGCAGTAAGCTGTTTAAAGTTTCATTTGATAATGCATAACCACCATTTAAAATATTCTTGGGAATGGTCAGTTTTATTGAATGTTTCAAAAAATTAATTAAGTTCAAATTTCTGTAGTTTTTTATTTTGAAATGTTCCCCTGTTTTACATTCTTTTTCAGCATTCCTTTAAAGCTTCTTTGTGGCATTTATTTAAAAAAATCTTAATGAGTTAGTATATCGGTTATTAATTAGCAACTGCAGGGCTTCATTAGTATTTAAAAAATGGATGAGACAGAAATGTGTGCATTCTTTAAGTCTCGATGGTAATGTCCCCCCCTTTTTTCCCTCCTCCCTGTCCATTAAATTTTTAGTTTAAAAAAAAAGTTTCTTAATTTGGATTAAAATTTTTTTGGATACTTTAAGTATTTTTTATGAGAGGATAAGATTCCTTCTCATTTATTTAACACACTCCTGTACATTTTATTTTTTATATCGAACAGGAAGAAAAGCAGGGTGTTGGTTCAGGTGAATAGAAAGAATGAACATTCATTTTAAGTAGTTTGTTCATCCTTAGTTATGTTCATGCTATTAGGCTGAGTTTTATGCCATCATCTATTAATTTTGTTTTCCGAATTTAGGCCCAGCAATACCAATGGATCCTTCTGAAGCTGCTCAAGCCATTTTTCCTTCCATGGCCAAAGCCTTGCAAAAATATTTGCGCATAACTCGACAACAGCCAAGACACACTATGCAATCTATTCTTGATCATCTAGCCTTGTGCCTGAGTCATGACCTCAGTCCAAAAGCTTTTCTTGAGAAATATCTTGTATCCTCGCCGGTTCTTCAAAATGATAGAGAGCATCGTCCAAGCCAAACCTGGGCTCTGGTCTGTGACACATTATTGTCACGACCCATAGAACCTGGATGTATATTCATGCTTCGTCAAAATGACATTTCGTTATTGGTTACCATTGCTCGCTTGCCCCATCTGAGTATAACTGAAGAAGTTATTGATCCAAAGAGCAATAAATTTGTATTAAGATTAAATTCAGAAACGTCAGTGTAAATTGTATAGTCTAGATAGACTTAATTGTCTTTTATATGCCTGACCTGGTTTTTAAGGAAGGTAGATAGATATTTGTGGTGCTTTAATTTATGAAATATTTGTATTTTCCATGTGATAAATTAGGTGGTTGTGCAGGTGCTTCTGTGAATGAATTACTGTTACGAAAAATTATGTTTGTTAATCTCATGTTTTATTTAAATAGGAATATCTTGTAAAGAAGCATTTTTGATGGAAAAGTTTCTGTTTTATAAATAGAAGAATCAGTAATTCTGAATTATTCCTTTATGTTGCAGTAAAAGCCCACTTTCCTACATCTAATTATTTCCCTCATCCTTACAAACTATTTTATACCAACTATGGTATAATAGCTTGTAATAACGAAAAATTAATTTAAGAAAAAATGTTGCATCTAGCATGTTAATTTCATTATATGAAGATAACAATGTTTATCTCATTTTTATGAGAAGTGTAATATTATATGGTACCATTTGATTTGTGATAGGCATGTGTTCTTCCATTTACCAATTTATATAGTTAATGACTATTTATTATGTATATGGTTATTAAAATATCAAAAATTTATTCCTTTCTCGGAGTTTTTAGAATGTTATAAATAATGATTTCTGCGGTAATACTTGAAGTTAATGATTAAAGTAGGCTTTTACTGAAATTATTTCTTGTTTAAAATGTTTTTGATTTTATAGCTGCAGTGAAATCTTTCAAGGTGACCACTTCCAGAACTAGCAAGTGCATACGGGACTGTAAATAAATATCAGTGTTAATATTTATAATAATATTTTTTAAAATTACAGTACATAATTGAGTCCCATTGCTCTTTTGCCCCATTTGAGTAGGACTGATAAAGTTATTAAACTAAAGCACAATAAATTTGTCAGTGACCTTTCATAGCATATTAAAAACGCTAACATTTTTCTTAGTCTTGAAATGTTGTTTTTAATTACTTCATGCAAAATTGCAAAATTTTACTGTGAGTAAATAATAATAATTATATTGTGTACTTGTAGTCCTATTAAGAGTTTAGCATTTTTGTCCTAATAATTAATCTAACATCTTAGATTTTAAAGTTAATTGTTAAATGCTTCATACTTTGTTCTGCCAGGTTGTTTCAATCATTAAAGGATTTGAATTAATTTGCTAGCAAGCTCATTATTTTTACTTTAATAGCCATCATGTTTTCTGTATAAATGTTTTCATTTAAATTTCTCGGCAGAAATATGATTTTCACAGTAGAATAGCATATTACCCAATTTTACATAGCAGCATTAGTTAACTGTTTGCTTTATAACCTTTACCAAATTGTTTAGAACATTCAGTATTAATTTAGAAGTCAAACAACAAAAATCAATGTTATCTTTTCAAGTTTTCACAGGACTAGTTTTGATGGTTTTACCAAACCATGATCCTCAGCTGCATACCATTGAAACTAGTCCTGTGAAAATGTGAAAACATAATGCTGTTTTTTATTGTTTGACTTCTAAATTAATACATGTTTGGTGTGTTATTGTATCTTAATCATTCAGTACTGTTTGACCTTATAAATTTCATAATTGGCTCATTAATAAATTTTTACTGTAAACATTTTTATTTTACTGGTTTTCTTTCCTTATGCAGTTGTATCAAATCCCACATTTTGTGACTTTGCAGAGAATTAATTTCTGTATCCATAGATTCTATTTTTCAAGCTTGCTTGCAACTTCTGTCAAGTGTTTTTTAATAAATCTCTGATGAAAAAGTTGTAGAATTAGGTTTTCTGTTAGATATTTACGTTATGAATTTTAAAGTAGTTGAAATGCTTGTTAATGTAAGAGTTTTGCTATATTATTATCTAAACTAAGGAACGGAGCCCTGTGGTAGGAGGAGACCGAAATTTCATCTTTCTCTAAAATGAAGCTTTAAATTATTTTAAAAATTTAAAATAATTATAATACAAGAACTAAATAAAAATTAAGGAGGCAGAATTTTTTGTTCGTATATTTTAATTAGCAAACAGATTTAAACTGTGAAGTTTTTTCAATGACTTTAGAATTGTTAGAACTTACAAAAACTGTTTTCCATGTTCCAAAATTTTGTTTATTCAAAATAATTTGAAAATATTAAATTATATATTTTTCTAAATTGTTATTACTGTTTCTATTTCCTTTTCTTTACAATTAGTTTTGTCTTTTAATTTTGCAGCATTAATAAATTGATCAGTTGCATTTCTTCTTCCGTATATTTTTTGGCTAAAACCAAAATTAAGAAATCCCTGTTTTCCTTTTTGTAAAGACCAAAGTCCACTTACTTCCACTGAAGGTCAGAATTATCTGAAATGTTAGTAGTTATCTTAGGGAGATTTCACTGTATTAAACTCTAATAATATAAGAAATAATCATAATTTACAGTATTTCCTTTTCTTAATTTTAACTGCATGCTAAAAATCTTTTGTGCATGCCTGCATAGTAATTACTTCATATTTTTTTTTTTAATTTTGTCTCCAACTTAATATTTTACAAAAGTATAAATTAACTTTTTTTAAAATTTAAAAACAGACTATTACATAGTTATCTGCCATAGATATCATGTATTTATTAAATGAAATAATTTTAATTCTTGCAACTAATCGAATGTATTGCAGTTTTAGTCCATATTTTTTAAATTAATCAATGCTTATGATCAAGAGATGATTTGCTTTATTGCAGTAGTCATTTTCTTATTGTTCATACGAGAAAAGTAAGATGCTAATAAGTTAGTGTAATATTCTTTAACAAGTTTATGTAATTTTTATCTATAAGAAAATGTCAAAATTGTTTGCTAAATGTAAATTTGCTATCAGAAGCAAAAATGTGGATGCCATTTTGTAAGCAAAAAATGTGGAATAACTTGTAAAGTCATTGTAAGATTGTAAATTATGACATCTCTTTGTAGCATATTTCACTGTTTTATTATTTGATTATATTATTTATCTCATTGTAATCAAGTTGGCAATTCTTTTATTTATGCTATTTATTTCTAGATATCCAAACTCATCAGAATATTTCTTTTCATTTTGATCTACTTCCCTAAATATTCATATATCATATATGTGTATATATTATGAAATTTCGTATTGAAAGAATGTCTTGTAAATACATTTTCAAATGAAACTCTATTTATTTTTTTGCAAATAAATGCTAAAGCATCAAAGTATATATCTAACATATCACTAGATGTAGGGTTTTGAAGTCTTAGTGTTGCTTTTAAAATAAATACATTCATTTGACTTCACTATTTGAAAATACTTTTTATTATAATAAGCTTTATCAGTTGTTACTTTACTTAAAAAAAAAAAAAAAAAAAAAAAAAAAAATTGTGTTTTTCATTGTTTTTGAAAATATTCTACAAGTTTATGTGTTTCAAAATGTTATTAGAAATTATGTAATTTAAAAATTACGACTTAAATCTTTCAGAGCAATTAGGTGAGCATGCTTTAAGAACATTGTGAATTTGAAAATTGTAACATCACAAAGTTGTTTACAAACTAATTTCTTGACCAGTTCAAACAGGCCTTTTATGTATTGCTCTTCTTGAACTTCATTAATCTAAGTCTTATTTGATATGTCACTAAGTATACAATTTTCAGATCTAAAAGCAAGATTTTATGTACTTTTTATGACAGAAAAAATAAAATTTGAGAATGTTATTATCTCTTAAAATTACAGCTTATTTTTGGACATTATAAAGGAAACTTATGTGTACATTAATTCTGGTTTAAGTCATTTCCCCTGCCTTTTTATGCAATAAAAAGTGTGACTGTTTTTAAAATCTTTGATGAATGTTTTCAAATAATAAATATGAGTTCTGCTATGGAAAGGATTTTGTTGTCTTTATTAATGTTCACAAATAATAAAATATAGATTTTAAGAATCTCTTCACACTGTTTTAGTAACTACTATTCTTTTTAAACTTTTTAATTTTGTAATATTGAGATCTTCAAAATCCTACCTGTATATTGCATACGGGAACAGAACCTAATTGTGTCCAATATTTTTATAAACAAAAAATTGTAACTATGTGAAATAAGCATCTAAATATATTATATATAAAAAAAAAAGAACTCTTTCTTCCCCCCTCCCACAAATATTTCCATATTACTTTTTCATTTCAACATCAAATTTAGTCATAGTGCTTCCCTGCCAGTAAAATTTAATTTCATTCATAAGCATTTTGCTGTACTATCTAATTGATAAATATGTAACTAGCCTCAAAATTAGTGGATATATTCTGTCTCTGTGGTTGGAGAGATACATTGTAACATATTCAAGAAATAATAGTGAGTCTTGCTAGTAATATGTTTGTATATAGAATTTTTTTCTCATTTGCATGCCTGTATGTTTTGTATCATGGACTTCTGTGAAATACATAGAAAATTTCAGGTATTTTATATACTTATAGATCATAAAATTGTGTCACATCAAAAGTAATGTATATAATAAATAAGATTATAAAATATTTCCTCTTTTATGATGAAAAAATTAATTGTAACATCCCATTACTGAACTGTCAAAATGATTTATTTTTCCTCTTAAAATTTTTCATTCATTTTTAATGCTAGAACTATTAATTATTAATGTGCTTTTATTTCTGCCAAGAGGGAACGTCTGTCATTTTGACAGATCAGTAGTTTTAATGTTAATAGTTTTCTTAGTACATATACATTAGTTATTACATTTTCATCAGAAATTGTATAAAATTTGTAATTTATCTTTTAAAAACATTTCTATAAAAGCATTTGTTTTCCTAAAAGTTTCCCTTTTTTATTTATAGTAGAAATTTGATTCATGTTTTTGCTTTACAGTAAAAAAATTTTCACTGCTGGCAGCTTTGTGAAGGGTTTTTGGATTTATGATGTAAATTTATTTTAATGAAGAAAGCTATTCTGCAGAAATTTATGCATGCCAATTTTGAGAGGTTAAAAAATTAATTTTATATTAATTGCACATGGTAATGAGTAGGTATCTTCCAATTTTCTCAAGTTATGGGGCTGTTAGGATGTGGTGTAAAAGGACTAGTTTATAAAATAATTATGATATTCCTGATAATTATCTATATGTTAATTATTTATCTGTTGTAATTGTGACAGTAGTAGCTAAAGTCTTTTTAGCAAAAATTTTAATTTATGTATAAAATACTGTAATAAATTGTATAAGAATTTATATTTTGTTTTCACTAATGCCAAAATCATGAATCTGTCTTTTTGGGGGGGGTCGGGGGAGGACATTTTCTGGCTTATTTTTCAGTTTGTTCATTGCCAAAATAAGAAAACATGTAGTCTCACGATGTATATTAAAGATATGTTTTTTAAGCTTTTCTTGAATCCCTCTGAGGTATCTTATAAATAATAATGACTGAATATATGCAATGTGATTAGTCATTTTTGCCTATTTTTGAAAAATCTTAATTCATATTGTCACAGCTGGCATTAGTGCTAACACTGATTTAGCTGAATAGATGCCAGTTATTTATTAAGAGCGTCCCACACTTATTGTTGCACACTTCTCACGCCAACAACCCTTCCAGAGCACTTATATTTCAACAAATTTTAAAAACTGCCCTCTGCAGAATATTACTGTTGCAAGTATTGATGCCTAACCTAAGGTTTTCAAGTCAGGTTATTTTTTTATTTTTTTTTTTTTTTTTTTGATAGAGGGTGTTCCTGTTTTAGCTTCCAAAATATTTATTCTAAATCATTTTATTTAAATGCTTTTGAATTAATCAGTATGTATTTTAAAAATTTAGTTCCACGTTGAAATAAATTTACGAGAAAGAACTTGAGAAATTTGGAATTTGTCTTCCATAATTTTGTAAGTTTAAAAAATATGTATGTTAGCATGTTTGTATATAACTTTTTACATATTGCATTTATTAGAGCAAATATGACTTTATATTTTCATTCTGTGAATGAAGATTTTTTTTACTTAACTTGTAATATTTAAAGAATTCTTCCCCATTTTTTCTTTTTATATATGGAAGAATAAATATTTATATTTAAGTTTTTAACATAATTGCATTAATATGTATTTGATCTTGTGGGTGTTTCCCCATATTGTGTATTCATAATATATACAATAATATATACATATATTTGAGTCTTAATGAGGAAAAAGTTTATTTCCAGTCGTTCTAGTGTAAAAGTTGATTTTTTATATTTAACAGATTGCTGAACAGTTAATGTGAAAATGCATTTGTTTTTCATAATTTGCATTTTAAGTTTCATTAATTTCTACCAATGCAGAAATTTTGATTTAAAAACATTAGTGTGAATCTTTTATTTTTTATAGATCAAAAGAAATGTGAAGGTCTTTTTTATATTATCCAGTATTAGAATAATGCATTTTGTCTCTTTAATAAATAGAACTAAAATTTCATTCACATGCGAAAAAATGACCTTAACATCAAACTTTTTTTGGGTGTGTGTGTTGGGGGGGGAGTTGTCATTTGAAATTTGCAGTGTATGTGCAATTTTTTAATGAAATACTTTTATAAATGTAGAATGGGGTTTCATTATTTAATTTATAGATTTTATGCCCAAATTCAGTTTGAGCTATAGTTGTTAGTAAAAGAAGAAGCAGTTAATGTGTTTGCCTTAAAAAAGGTGAATTTGCAACGAAATCTATTCTTATTTTAATATAATGCATAATCTTTGACCTTTGATAATTCTTTTTCTGAAATATTTTGACATTTTTATCAAGTGTGATAAATGTTGCTTATTTTAGGTATTTTCCTGTTTTAATGGCCATATATCAAGTTGTTCCTATCATCACTTGTTTCAAACAGCACAGTCTTAGGTACTTCTCTGTTATTGGGCTAGATTTAGAACGATATGAATGCATGCATTTATGTATGTATACACATATGCTTATATACATACATTTCTGAATCTGGTTTCAGTAACAGAAAAGTACCCTATTTTATTATGGTTTTTAAGCAGGTTTTTGTTTTATTGGAGTCTCGCATAAATATGCCTTGCATGGATTCCTTGTAAACTCAATTTTGAATGCAATGAAATTCCGAAATGCATTGTAAATGTTTAAAAAATGTCTGTTTCTGCACATTATTGTCTTTCATTTTCAAGTTTTTAATACTAGCATCATTACTTTTATGAGAAAATTTTACGTACTACATTTCTCTCATTCATTGAACTTATTCCAAAATTTCTGTGCATTAAATTAGGCCCAAAATCAGTATATATGATTTAACTCTCTGACAGCTTTAGCTTTTAGGTATGAAATATTATACAAGCATTTATTATCTAAATTTTAATTTATTAGAATAATTTCTAAACCATCAAAGAAAAAAAAGTGGAAAAATTTTTAAAAACAAGTGAATATGTACTGAATGACAACAGAAGTCATGATCTATTAAAAATAATCTGGCTTGTTAGAGAGTTAAAGAATTTTATATGTGTTGAAATAATTTCAGCTTGATTTTATAGTATTTTTATTTCCAAGTGCCTATGACATCAATATATATGCAGTGCTCAATTCTGCACAGTTTTTATTGTATTTTCTTTGTTAATTTTGTTTTTAGCTCTTTTACCTTGTTAATATTTTGCCATATTTTTATTATTTTTATACAAAAAAAAAGTATAAATTTTGTTCTTGAAAAATGTTCAATTTTTTTGTTAAATGTAAAAATGTTGTACATATAACAATGAAGATAAATTTTGTAATGGAGATTTTTATACTTGGAAGAAATCTTCTCTTAAAAGAAGAGGTTTAAAAAAAGCCAGACAATCGCAATTCAAAAAGTAGTTATTTCTATGTGTACATTTTTCATGAGTATCTTTTGTGGTCATGTGTTCAGTCACATATGAATTTGTACTTTAACTTTGGTACTATGGTGATTTAATAAAACTTCATTCAAAATTTTCTCTATGCATATTCATATAAATATTGTTTTTCATTTAAGGTGTTTTTCTCTGAAAAGTACAGTTCTTCAATTGTATATAAACAAATAAATTTAATTTTAAAATATTTCAATACATTTTTAGATTATTTATGAAATATGTTTTGTTGTTGCATATACTGTACACAATCATTAATTTTCTTTTTATAAAACTGCATTTTACTAAATTAATCCAACTTATATATGCTTCGCTTATGCAGAAGGGTATTTTGATTGAATGGTTTATGCTCTGAGGAAATATGCTGTATGCGCATTATTTCTTCTGCCTGGCAAAATAGTTTAATTCATACTCGATATGAAGATATTCTGAAAGAAAAAATATATAAATTTAGTTTATATTCAGTCTGTTTGAAAAATCATTGGTTTAGCAGTTTTCATATTAACTGTTAATTATTGTTTTATTTATTCAAATTTTTGGAAAAGTAACTGTAATATGAGAAAAATAAGTATTCTTAATAATAATGCATTCAAAATAAAATCACGTAGATCATATTGTAATAGCTAGCATATATATAATAAATCAAGCAAGAGATTTAGCTGTAATTTGCAGGGCTGTGGTGTCGGAATCGGAGTTAGGCAGATTTTGGGGTAAAAGGAGTCGGAGCTGGATTCACTAAAAACAGGTCAACTCCAACTCCAGTTTTTGTTGGACAGTTTGAATTTGAAATGAAATTAAAGTGAATTAAAAAAAAAAAATAATGACAAACTGAGTTATTATTTTTATTTACATTATTTATTTATATACATTAATAAATAGTTATTTTCTATTTTACTGACATTAATAAATAAATATAAGGGAGGAGGATGGATGTGATATTTGCCATTAGTGATTAAACACTTGCGCTAAAAAGACGTGCCACGTATGTTGAGATGCTTTTGTCTCAAACTGTGAGCACCACGTCTTATCGCAAAAATGAAAATAATGTGGTGCACACGTCGCCTAACAATGAGATTGTTTATTTCTCCAGTTACAGCTCTGGATTGCACTCGTAGATGCGGAGCGGTGTAAATGAGACACTTTACTGCTTGTTATATTGTAGCGCAAGGCACCGCAACCGTGAAGTTTAGTCGTAGCCCAAGTGGTTAAACTGTTTCATTTAGTTACTTTGTTCAGTTACAAATCTCATTGGTAAATTTAGGTAAGCAGCAAGAACTCCCAAAATTGATGTCATTGTTAGGAAGCAAGCAGGAAAAGGAGCAATTATTGATCAAGCAACATGATGGGAAGTACATATTTAATGATATAGAGGTTGTTAGAATTAAGAATGTTTTTAGAAGATGTAGATAACCCTAATGTTTCACTAACAGAAAAACTGTGGAATGATCTTTCCAGAATCCAACGTCTTTCTGCACTGTATATAGCCCCAAAAAAGCTAGAATCTGAAGAATTAAGAGGAGGCAAGAATGGAAGAATATGATGTTTGTTCTTCCTGAAAAATGGAGGGTTTATTGCAGAAGGAATAATTTCTTCAGTGAAGAAAAGAAAAGCTAGTTTGCTAGACAATGAGATCTTGCTGGGTTCGATATATGTAGATCCAAAACACAGAATTTTGTTGGATGATGAACAAATTAAGGAGGCGAAGAAAGCCATCTATGAACTTTCAATAAGAATGAAATTATTTTGAGAACAATACAATTGGAGTATTCAAATCAGGACAGTCAAACTGTAGACATTGCAATTGAGTCTCTATCATCCTCTTCCAGTGATGAATTAGATTTTGAGACATATTTTTGGGTAATATTGAAAAGGCTAAGGCAAAGCGAATGAAAATAAAGAACCAAGAGCCTTTAGATATAAAATTGAAAAAATACAAGATTTCTACCTGGCCTTTGAAGAAATAGAAAAATATGATTGCCCCTGCAAGACATCTCTTTTAGAACTTATAAAAATCTATCCTGAAAAGTTAAAAGAAGTAGCCTTAACAGTAATAGCTCTTTCTCCTACTCAAGTCAGTGTGGAAAGACTCTTCTCAGCTCTGAAGTTTATCAAATCGGATCTATGGTCCTCCAACAAAGATGATCTTGCCGAAACTAATATACTGTTTCTTAGAAATAAATAATGCCAGTTTTTCCATTTCACAATAAATGCTAATTAATATAAATAATTTGCTATGCCATCATTTTTTTTTCCCCTCTAGCATCTATTACTTCTTTTATATTAAAAAAAAGCCTTAACCCATGTGTGTATGTTTACATATACTATAAATATGAGGGAGTCGGAGTCTTTAAAATTTCAGGAATCGGAGGCGATCATTTTCTCTACATTTCACATCATATTTAAGCAGTTGATTATTGGGTGCTGTGATAATAGAATAGGCTTTGCTATTCAGTAAAAAGATCCAAATTTAAAAAAAAAAAAACTGCAGAGCTGCGCTGGCTAATGCTTGTAGCCAATCAGCAGCACAGTCTAGAGTAAACATAAAATGCAAATGAAACTGCTTTATGTCGACAGAACACAATTAGGGAAACATTAACAGGAAAAAAAAAATATATATAATTTTACAAGATTTAGATTAGCTTAACTACACAAAGAGTCATTATATTATTACCTGCTCCAGTGTATGCACACATTTATAGAATAAACAGTTATATGTGCCCATAACACAGAGCCCCAGAAATCATTTTCTGTAAGGAATATATTCAAAATAGGGAAGACTGATGATTTATCAGTCTGATAAAAGGCAAATTTTAGTGGCACTATGCCACAGAAATATAATCTCTTAAACAGCAGAGCTTATGGGAGGCTTCTACTTCTTTGGTACTCTTTCAGTCTTGAATTTGAACTTGCTTTTTCTAATACTGGCAGTTTTTTGGAATACCAGGTTTTAGATTGGTATACTTTGTTAAAATTTCGACGAGTTCTTTTCTTTTGCGTGGTTCGAGGTGCGTAAAATCAAACTTTTCATCAGGATGTGTTGAAGGCATTTATACTATGTTTATCAGTAAGTTTTATGATGATCGTAGCAGGTCCTGTCTATCTTGCAATAACTTACTAATTTCCTTATCAAGGATTAAGACTATAAGTCTATCACCTTCCTTAAACTCGTAATGACAAGTCTCCTGTCAATAAAAAGTTAATAAAATTTATTCTTATTCCAAGAAATAAAACAAAATGGTGAAATTTCCTCAGAGATATTTGTACAATATCACAATATATTACAGTAGTTATAGTTTAGACTACTAAAACGTTAAATAGAACACAATTCAAAGCAGAGAAAGCTAATCCGTTCTCACCGCGAATTCGCTACAATCAACAACAAGAACTAAGTAAACAACTGAATTGAGATGTTTTCATCTGGCTTTTATAAGTTTTTTAATCATGCATGAAAACATTCTGGTATTTTCTCGAGGTTTCTGGAAAGCAAAAGAGTACACTTACGAGATATCTATTAAATGCGCGTGCTCCTGTATTTTTAATTTTTCGGCGTAGCTTACTCTTAAAACTCGTCGCGAGCAGCATTGTACGAGGAAATGAAACAATTTAATTACAGTTTTACTAAAAATAGCAAACTAAATACAAAAACCGTAACAATATGTTATGATACTCGGAATTAAATTTTGAACATTTCAATTGAGAATGGAAATTCCTTCTTTTGCAGTAGCTTTCGAAACAAAGAAAGCACCGATTAGAAATGTTTTAAATTCTTTTCATTTCTTCCGGTGACAAAACACATTTTTCCAAAATGTGAATTTCACTTCCAGAAAATTAGAAAAAATTTGAGTTCACAGTTTTGTTTACATTATTGGAACGATGGCTGCAGATAGTCATATTGGCCTTGAAAGAATTGCGAATGTCGAAATTGTTTCGTTAGGGGAAATAAAATACTTTTCAAGCAAAGTCGCCTAACGCTTGGACCAAGATAAATTTAACGACGTCCTTTTTTTTTTTTTTTTTTTTTTTTTTTCATTTTAGAAATTTTATGAGGTCGTCGACATTAAAATTGTCATCATTTTATTTCTGACAAGCAAAATCAAGTGCTACGTCTCTAGGAATACCGGTCCACCAGCGGCCGAGCGGTAAAGTTGCTAAACACTTGTACTTCGGTCCGAGGTTCGAATCCTGCGAACGGGCTGGCTGAATGGGGGTTTTCGTGTTTTTCTCAATGTGTGTACGAGCCAGTTTCCTTTAGAAAGTCCTCCACGAACACAACATCTCCTTCCTTAGGCAGAGATCCATAGTGTGCTTTGCCGTAACCTCAATAAACCAAACCAAACCGTATGAATAAATTTCATTAACAAATGGATAAACTTTCGTATGATTCAATTTTGATTTCTAAGGACTTAAATAAACTTATTTGTACGTTATATATATATCATATTTAATTCTCTCAAAGCATGAATACCGTTCGAACTTCGAATAGGTTCCGAATTTAATAGTTTATGCATGAATGAATTAATAAAATCTTTTTGATCAAATCTTTCCTTAAGAATTTTAAATGCTTCAACATAGTTATCTGGGGATAATGAAAATCCTTCAATAGTAGTTAAACTTTAACTACCTAATAAACTAATCAAATAATAGAACTTATCAACCTTAGATAACTGATTATAGCTTTGATTTATAGCTGAAAGAAAAGTATTATAAAATATTTGCCACACCTCAGCATTTCCATAAAACGTATAAGTCATAACTGACATTTTAACACTGTAGTCAAAGCTTCGATCAATAACACCATAAATAATACATAGATACAATTACTATTATCATGAAAGGAACCACTAGAAATTTGTGAACTGTTAACATTTAGTAATTTTGTGCCCCTGAAACTTCATTTCACAATCTTACCTTCGTATTCCGAGGCACTTTCGAGTTAAGATTCAGTGTCGTTTACATCAGTTAGATCTTATGCTTTCAAAGAAACAGCTTTTACTTTTAAAATTTCTATCAAAGAAGCAGTTAAAGATTCAATAGAACCTGTTACTTTAGCTATGGCTGAACGAATAACTTTCTGTTCTTTCGCAAGTTCTGCTTCATTCACTTCCTGTACACCTGGCGATCTGGAGACAAGAATTTATCACTCACGATTTAGCGGCGCAGTAGTTAAACTGGTTTACATTACGTCTATGGAAGCTTTCCTTCTTTACATACACATTCTTTGCACTTTACTGGAACATTTTTAATCCAGTTTAATCCAGTGGAACATTTTTAATCCATTTACACTTTACTGGAACATTTTTAATCCAGTTCGAGCATATGAAATCCAATTATGCCACTTCTGAGACTTCATCATAATGTGGGTGCTTGAACATATACATCATGTGTTCATAAATATGGATGTAGTACAGGACAGCACTTTATTTACAATACGAACAGATACAATTCCCATGAAGCTAATAACATAATGTTTCTTCTGGCTTGCAGCGTAACGTACATAAACCTTATTCATGGCATCCCCTTCTTGTCATGTCTATTCTGACTCAGGGTCGCGTGGCAAAGAATGTTTATGTAAAGAAGGAAGGCTTCCATAGACGTAATGTAAACCAGTTTAACTACTTCGCCGCTAAATCGTGAGTGATAAATTCTTGTCTCCAGATCGCCAGGTGTACAGGAAGTTGAGGAATACGGTACGAAAACAAAGAATGAAAGAAAGAAACAGGATTCGTTTTATGACAAAACTTTTCGCGATAATTTTACCTCGGAGTTTCGTAGATATTTTTACTCAAGATAAATAATACGTTAATTAATCTAATTCCGCGGATCATTAATTTGACTTACTCGATACAATGGGAGAAAAAATGTCAAAGAAGTTTGCGTAACTTTTACGCGCATGCGTAAAAAAGGTGTTGAGGCTGCATGGATAGTGATTCCTTCCCCAGTTTGGAGTACGGGAGCTAGACGGTTAAAAATGTAGATTTAAATTCATTTAGAGTACAAGGATCACATTGAGCAAAAGGGAAGAACCTATTATTATTTATTTCCTTATCGTTATCTTCCTTCTAACTAATTAATCAAGGTAAGACAAAACTGTTTATCTTCTCCCAATGGGTTCTGCCAGGGCCGCTGATTGAAATTGATATCCCCTGTACATTTCTATCTGCGAAATCTTGAAGCGAATAATCCATAAATGATAAATACATTCTTTACAAAAACATATTTTAATGAAGACGCAAACGGGTTACAGACTATTTACATAATGAAAAGTGTTTTAATTTGCCACGACGCAGCGTGCGACGTCTCCTTTCCGAGTTCTCGGGCGATCTCTGAGCGAGAGTTCATAGTTCGAGATGACGTCACTCAGCCATCGGATCTCAGCAAGAGTTGAGTTGCAACATCCTCCGGCCCGAAAGGACAATTGCTGTAATTATCCTTATTACATTCCAGCTCCACTGGATATAGTAGTTGCACTGGTCTTTTAATCGTATGGCCATTGGCCAAGCGGACAGCACAGGCCATCTCTTCCAGGAAAGATTTCCATTATGATGCCCATCTTCCACATCAGCCTTGGAATTTTATCTTCATGCACTAATACAATAGTTCCTTTCTTCTAACAGGTTCGATGCGCAGATTTTAAATTCATCAAATAATCCTGTCTTCATTTTCTCCAGATTCTTTCTACCAGTACCTGTTGATGCCTAAATGGACGTGTAAGACTTTCCTTTGTTGAAGTCAATTTAGAGCTTCCTTGCGGCAATGATAGTAACCGTCTTCCTATTAAGAAGTGACCAGGGTCAAAGATTCTGGCTCTCCTAGATCCGAGTAGGTAAATGTTAAAGGTCTGGAGTTTAATATAGCTTCCACTTCTGTTATGACTGTCTGTAATTCCCTGAATGTCAAGGATGATTTGCCTAGGATTCTCTTCAAAAGAGCTTTCAGAGACTGAACCATATGCTCCCAAAAGCCTCCCCACCATGCCGCCCTCTCAACTATAAATCTCCATTTGATTCCTTGCTTAGAGAACTCGTCTTGAACCTTATTGTTTTTAATCACCTCGTTCAATAGCTCTAATTCTTTTTCCGCTCTTTTAAAGGTTTTGGCGTTATCGGTATACACTATTCGGCACAAGCGTCTTTTCGCTATGAACCGTCTAAATGCAAGCAAAAATTTTTCTGTTGAAAGGTCAGCTGTAAGTTCTAAATGCACGGCTCTATTTACAGCACATGTAAACAGTAAAACATATGTCTTGGATAATTCTCTTCCACTTTTGACGTACAGTGGACCCGCGTAATCTATTCCGGAGTTCTCAAACGGAAAGGCTTCTCGGCATCTGTCTGGTGGGAGAGGTGCCATATCTTGCATGACAGGTTTCGTTCGAAATATTTTGAAGACATTGCAATTGTACAGAACACTTTTAATTTTCCTACAAGCCTTCAGCAACCAAAACTTATCTCTTATTTGATTTAAAGTATCTGCTATTCCTCCGTGCCCTACCACCTGATGACTGTGAAGAATAATTAGATCAGTCAAATGATCTTTGTCAGGCAACTTTCGTTTACAAATGGATTGAGGACTTCAGTTTTGATTCTGAACTTAATTCCTCGTTGTTCTTCAATGCCCGTATTTCATTTGTGAAATTTCGTTCCTGAACACGTTTAAACAATAAGTTTCTGCCATTTCCAATTCGGTAACCTGCAAACATCCTGATAATTTCGAAGTATTTTTAACATTGTTGATGAACCTTAAGAACCACGCAGTAATTCGATAAATTGCTGTAATTTTGGGTTTTAAAATAAATATTCGGAAGGTTCTGTAACGCATGAATTTACGAAAATTTCCTTCGATGTTTTCTTATTTCCTTGTTGGAATCTTCAATGTTCTTTGTGGAACATAAATTCGGTTTTGGCCAGTGTTCCATTTCTTCTTTTAACCACGCGGGCCCTTCCCACCGTATGCTATTCTGCTTCAGATGTTTGACATTTTCACCTCTAGTTAGCAAATCAGCTGGATTAATTTCACCAGGCGTATATCTCCAGTTCAAGACATCTGAAGTCTTCTGTATTTCCTTCACTGTGTTCTGAACGAATGGCTTCCATCTTTTCACATCACTTCGAATCCAGTGTAACGTTATACTAGAATCAGTCCACATATATACAATTAAATCAATGCCCGAAGTTTCTTTTGTATGTATTTTGACAAGAGGCAGTCTATCAAAGCACCCATCAATTCCAATCTGGGAAGTAATAATTTTTTCAAAGATGCTACTCGTGATTTTGATGTAATGAAGCTTATATGAATGACTCCATTTTTCGAATAACGAAAACCCATAGGCCTTCTGACTCGCGTCTGTAAAACAGTGTAACTGTAAACCGTCCCTTATATCCCTTTTCCCAGCACTTGCAAATTGATGTCTTGGTATTTCCAAACTAGAAATATGAGCTAATTCATCACACCAGCTTTGCCAATTCTTTCTGAGATTTTCTGGTATTTCAGTGTCCCATGCTATCTTTTGTTTCCATAAATCTTGCAATAAAATCCTAGCTCGAATGTTGTATGGATTTAAAAACCCCAGTGGATCAAAGAAACGTCCTACAAATCTCAAGATTTCCCTTTTAGTGGGTATATTATCTATCCTTTTGGCATCTCTTACCAAATCTTCAATTTCTATCAAAAATGTATCAGTTGACCTATTCCATATGTACCCCAATTCTTTAGATTAAGAAGAATCTTGTGAAAAATCTTCTTCGTGCCATACCCTTTGTAAATTCCTTTCATTCGTTTTCCACTTCTGCATGTTAAATCCACCTTCTTTCAGTATGCGTTTAATATGTTCCGATTCCTCGAATGCTTCTGATTCTTCATCCGGTCCAGCGATTAAGTCGTCAACATACATAGTTTCAGTTAGCATGGAAAATACATTCGGATATTGTGACTTGCACTTGTCAGCGTGTACATTAAGAGTAGCTCTAAGAAGAAACGGACTAGATGTTGCTCCAAAAATTACCCTTGTCATACGAAGAGCCTTTATTTCGGTTCCATTTAATTCACCGTCGTTCCATAGAAACTTGACTGCGTTTCCGTCTTCATCAGCAAGAGAAATCTGCAAGAATGCTTATTCGAGGTCAGCGGTAAACGCAATTCGATTTTGACGGAACTTAAGGAGCAATTCCAATATGTCTGGACACATCTTGAGACCTGAATGTAAACAGTCATTTAATAACAAACAATTCTCCGCATATGACGAAGCGTCAAAAACCCCACGGAGTTTTGTAGTTTCCTTGTTTTTTCTTATAACGGCTTGATGTGGCATAAAATACGTTTTTGGTCCAATTTCAATGTTAGTCTCTTCGGCGATTCCTTCTTTTAAGTACTTATCAATTACTTCGCGATATCTGCCATAGAACTGTTGATTATTCTGAAATCTACGACTTAAACTCTCTAAATCTAATTTTAGCAATCTCCAGATTATCTCCAAGCTCATTTATTGATTCAGGAGGCAGATTCGACATGGAATAACGAATTCGGACGGACGAAATATAAACGATTGTTTTCAAAGATTTCATCAACAGATCTTTTGAAAGTATCGCAAAAACAAATTATCTTATAATCAGAATTTCCTCTAGCATAATTCTCTAATTATCGAGCCCCGATTATCGAATCCCTAGAATATATCCCACAGATTCGAGCTCCCAGAGGTGTCTTATGATTCGTTATTATTATAATGAAACCGACAATGAACACAACCTTCATCGTATTCACATTAGATGGTGAAGAAATTCGGTAAGCCCTTTCTGAGTCCACTCCAACTCCAACCCACCCAATTTGTTTTCAACCGCTACTAAGGAATTATACAATCTGCGAACCTTACCCGTAACTATTTTCCAATAAAAAACCGCTTCTATCAGCAAAGAAATTTTCGGCGTTTTATTCCCTTGTCCCCATTCATCGGAAAGTTGTATGCCCTGTTTTTAATAAGATTAACTATTTCTTTTCTAGAGGAATGCATATGTAATCCATTAATGACAGGAGTAATTTAAGCTTCTATTTTGATTTCATATCGATGCTTTGAATTACGCAAAATGAGATTGGTTTTTTTTAACAGTCTGCGCTTCAGGCGTCGTGCAACCTAAAGAGAATATTTTTATTTTTTCTTCTCCAATAACCGGAAGTATTAGTTTCTTACAGATGTCCTCTGTAATAAATGTTCGCTGTGATCCTAAATCAAACAATGCGCGAACGCTTTGCTGACGTCAATTGCCTGTGTTTATAATTTCAGATCGTACTGTCAGAAGAAATGAGTTATTTACTGTTGCGCAACCGGAAACAGAAGAGACTACTGCCTCTTGGACGGGCTCTTGTCTGACGCGTTCGTTTCGTCAGAGTTTATCAATGTATGATGTCGTCGTCCGCAAATTCCACAAGTTAGTTTCGATTTGCAGTTCTTCGCTAAATGATACATTTTGAGACACGCGAAACAATTTCCACTTCGCTTTCTCGCTTCCTTTTATTCTGGCATGTGACATTTCGCCGCATTTCCCGTTCAGTTTTCAAATTTCTATTTCTATAAATTATATCCCGATTTCTTTCTTTGTCTCGAAAACAATCTCGAACCTGCCGCATATTTTTTCAAATGAGGATTTCTTGAGTGACTTCAGAATCTTTGTTGTCTTAACCAAAAAAATCCGTAATGTTTCTCGCCTTTTTATTTCTTTTCTTTGAAAAGTTTTTAAACAACATTTTATCTTCGTATTTTTCAGTCTAAATTCAAAATTCTGTCTCATTTCCTATTAATCTTAAATCAGTCGAAACGAATCACTTTCATTTATATCGGATCCCACGATAAAGGTCCCTGTAACTAAACTATCATAACGGAATTCAAAACAGTATTATGCCGGAAAACATAAGGTTACGAAAGATCCTTTATTTGGACCTTTGCAAAAATCGGAATCATATAAATTTCGAAGTGTTTGCACCATCAAAAGGGCCTGAAGTACAATGAAATAACGACACGGGCCAACGTCAAACAATGAGATTTCCGAAGAGTAAATTGTGTGGTAATTAAAAATCGCATGTGCGAGTATCATTACATATTCTAGGTGTAGAAAATTCGCGCTATCCGGAAGATCTACTATTCTTAAATGCGTTAAACAATTGTCAATTTTATCGGCAAACTTCTCGAAGTAAATAAAATTTCAAAAAGATGTCCGCTTTATTGTCAACCCTTGTATTGCAGTCACAATTCGATGCAGTTCGAAAAGTACCTAGAATTGAAAATTGGTAAGGATAGTGGTTAAATTTTCATACATGCCTTCAAGCGCATTGTTTTACCCTTTCGGGTGTTTACAACGATCTGCCAAAGATGGGTATTGAACACCAAAACCCGGGCCAATAACACAGATCCTTATCCCGAATGTTTCAAACAAGGCGAAATTTAAGGAGTTTAATAATTTGTTTCTTTGCGAATCAGTGACAGTTCTTATGAAGTAGAATTAGCGCTATGTGATTATAGCGGATATCTAATATCTTTTACGCGCGAATCCAAACAATATTCTAAGAAATTGGATTCATATCTTTTATAGAATTTCGCTGAAAAGTCTTACCATTTGCTCATTATGATAATTCAGAATACTGAATGAAAAACTAATACATCTCAAAAAAAAACAAATATTTATGTATCCGCTGATTAGTTCTTAGCATAGTTTTTAGTATTAATTACTGAGCAACTGTGTTCTTCTTTCAATTACATTTTTTATCTCTAATTACATTAGCATTTCGTTTCTATCTTATTTACAGGGTGATCAGCGAATAAGCCAGCCCTGATTTCAAAATGAAATATCTCTACAACAAAGATCGATAGAATTATGTGGTAAACTGTACGTTTATTAGCAAAATTGTAAAAATGGTGTACAAAAGTTTAGAAAATTTAGTTACGAAAATCGTTAACAGATGGCACTCTGCTCTGAAAACTCTTTCTCTGAGAGGGTCTAGAAAAAACAATAAGGTGAGGCAGCCTTTGCAATCAAAATATAATTTTTTCAAAATGTTCTCCGTTCGAAACAATGAGGTGGCGTAAACGAAGAATGAAATTTGACATCACGTCTTGCAATGTCTTATCGGAAATGGAATCACATGCAACACCACTCAACGATTCAAGCTCATCTAGAGTAGCAGGATTTTTTCGATAGACAGTGTCTTTCAATACGCCCCACAGAAAGAAGTCACAAGGACTCAGATCGGGAGAATATGGAGGCCAAGCTATTCCTGTGTCTTGTAAATTGCAGATAATCTAACGCAATTACTCTATTCCCAAAGTATTCATGAAGAAAGCGAAAAACTTTATCTGTTCGATGTGGTCGAGCTCC